TGTGTGTGTGTGTGTGTGTGTGTGTGTGTGTGTGTTGCTGTACTGTAGTTTCACTGTGAAACCATATTTAAACTGAACACACTGAGAGAGATGGTGAGAATACAAAGAGTAGACTTAGAAGCAGTGCCGTTTTTATGTTATACTTGAACACCATCTGCCTGTTTAGATTTTTTGGGGGAAATCCTCACATAATAATTTAAGAGGAACATATCAGTTATTGTAATAATGTGGATTCGATTCAAGATGTCCTCTCGAGAAAGAGCCAGTACACTGGTTCTTCCTGGTTCACACTAATTATTTCTGCTTGGCAAACTTGGGCTGTGACTCTTCCTGGCTAAGATCAATGGATGGGGAGAGGCTCTTGATCGTCCAACCCAATCCCACAGTGTCAACATGTTGACACTGTGGGATGGGTGTCCACTATTCTGTGCTGAAGGTTTGAAATGCAATTTCACTGTGGCAGCGCATCACTTTTGCTACTTTGGACATCTTGTTTCTGTTCCAGTTCTTCTGCTCATGTCCCACAGAAACCTCTCTGTGCTTCAGAAGAGGAAGTGCCTTTTATGGTTTGGTGCTGTTGAAGGTCTGTTAGTCAGCAAGAAAAGGTTTTCAGGGACACTGATTCAGTGTGGGTATTTTTCTTTAAAAAAAAAAAAAAAAGATCTCACAAATTGATTACTGTGGTAGTCTTGAGATAAATCTAGAAGGAGGTGCAAACCACAAATAAAATCAAAATGCAATGGTTTGCTCATAAATTAAATGCGCTCAAACTTAGAATTGCACAAAGTAAATGACGATGCGGGAAGAAAATAAAGTAGCTCAATGCTCAGTCTGACTGGATGCGTAAACACCATTGTCAACTGGATTTGGATCTGAACTACTGGCTCATTCTTTCACATGAATATGCTTTGGTCTATTCTAAATGATTCCACTCTGACTGGATGATGGAGAGTGAACTGTTTCCTCAGTCTCCAGTGTTTTGCTGTGCTTAACAGATTTTCTTGCAGAATTTCTCTGAATATTGCTCCCTCTGCCTTCCCCTGAATTCTGATGAATTCAGGGGAACTCCTGCTGAAGAACTCCTGCTGAAGAAACTCCTGCTGAAGAAAAGCATGATGCTGCCACCATCATGCTTAACTATGGGAGTGAAAGAGTGATACTTGTCCTGTTCACAGATTTTCCCACCTGAGCTGTACATCTCTGCAGCTCCTCTAGAGTTACTATGGATCTTTTGGCTGCTTCTCATATTAACCCTCAGACTGAGTGTTTCATACTTTAAGTATTTCCAGAAGATGAAATGAAGGGGGGCGGGGGGAAGTAGTCTCTCTACATGCTATTTACTAATTTGGCAAAAGACAGTCAATTGTGCTGCATTTTATTTAGGGGTGTAAGAGTGAGTGGCATCACATTTTTTTATTGGTAAACAAAAATCAAAAATCACACATTTCTATTCCACTTCACAACACAACTCTGTGTTGGTCTATAAATGATAACATCTCCAGAAAATGCATGAAACCTTGTGAATGAAGTGACTGAATTTCATCCACTTTATGAACTTCTTTTATAAAGTCCAGCATTCATGAATACTTTGTGAGGCTCTGTAAGTGGGGGTATAAGCCAGGGGTCATCAAAACCAGGCCTCGAGGGCTGGTGTTATTGTGATGCAAGTTTTAGATGTGTCCCATGTCCAACATGCCTGAATCAAATGCCTGAATTACCCTCTCAGTTTGAGGTCAAGTTTGCAAGAGTCCTCCTAATGACCTCCTTATTTGACTCAGGTGTGTTGAAGCAGAAACAAAAGTTGCAAGACACTGGCCTTAGAGGACTAGAATAAAAACTCCTGGTACAGACTATGCCCTGTACATGTAGGTATACCTTTGACAAATAAAAATGCTTGAATATAAACATGTTTGTGATAACTTTTCAAAATTAGTTCAACTTTATGCTCTCTTTTTTCACAAATGGAAGAGTCGAACGTTTGCCAACTGACTGCTTGACTAAAAAACAAGAACGGGGCGACAACAAGATTTGGCTGTAAACTCGTTGAGAACTTTAGTGACACTTGTCTTCTTTTCTAATATGGTGCTGTTTCACCGTCGTCTAAAGCGTCATCCTAAAACCAGCTCACACGCCTCCCTTTCCCGTTTGCCCAACCCCCCGCGCCATCGAAAAGTAATCCCCGCCCTTCTCCCTCGCTCTCACCCCAACATGACTACAAGAATCAACGCTCCGGAGCACCATGGGAGTTGTAGTTCCCGCCTCGCTAGCACGTTTGAGAAGGCGAGGCTTCAGCAAAATACAACTCCCATCTCGACCTTCGCACGCCGAGCCCCGTCGTCCAATCTGAATATGTGGGAGGAGCGCGTCCGCCCACAAAAGCCACAGCTATCTCCCCGTTATCGAACCCAATTGTGCACGAATTAAAGAGAATAGGCTGAAAATACAAACGCAGGTGGCGGCTCGTTTCAGGTACGCGGCGGACGGCGACGAGACGTCCGCGCGTCGTGTGTCGTCGGGGGAAGAAGCGGCGGGTGACAAGAGGCAGGAGCAGCGAGGAGGGTGTTGTCCTGGTGCTTAAATGGAAGTGGGTGGGCCTCCACGGTCACACACCGCCAACTTCTCTGTGGCCATCGTTCTGACAAGCACAAATTAGCTCGTTTATGGACTGCCTGATCGGCGAGAGCGACAGAAGACGGGGGCTGCGAGGAGTCCGAAGGTGCAAAGACGGTCACGGCGCGTGCTGTTGTTCCCCTTATTTTCGGGGGGCTGCTTGATTGTGCCTCCGCTTGGCACCGCCCTTCCTGGCTGGTGGGTGGTTTCGTCAAACGGGCTGATCCGCGACGGCCCTGAGACGAACATATAGGCCGTCCTCCGCCTCTGTACCCGGCCGGCCTTCTACCGTGAACTACACCCTCTCCCTCTCGGTATATTAATGCGTTATGAGTGGTAGGTACCCTCCCCCCTCTCCGTCTCCACCCCTCTCTCATTCTCTCTCTCCGTCTGACAGTTAGAAGGCTCCATGCCCCCTTTGATATTGATGATGAGGTTACTGCTTTCTCTTTAGTCTTTATTGATCACCTTTGTTTAACTATATCTGCTTTCCGCTCATTTTATTTACAGTCAACACTATCTTTGTTACTGCCTGCTTTTGCCCTGTGACTTTATCCTGGAGGTGGTCATAAATGAAAAACAGAACATGCTCTGAAATAATACTTTCTTTTCCACAGACTCGAAGAAGGAATCATCTGGAACAGAAGGAGGGAAACCATCTAAACGGGGCAAAAGTTCAGGATCGCAGGTAAAATGAAAATGCTTTAGTTAATTAGTTTTCTCTTTTTTTGCATTGCCTGTAGGCCAAAAATGTTCTCACTCCCTCTCAGCCAGTCAGCCAGACACCTCTGGGGGCGTTTCTCTGGTGATATCCACTTCCTGCTTCTGTGCAACCCTGCTAAGAGCCAACCCAAAAAGTCTCATGAATATGCCTATATGGCTGTCACACTCCAGCAGATCTGCTTTTGAATTTGTCTATTTGAATTATAGTCAAATTCAGTTCCACTCATAGATTTATCTTAAACACCTGCAGTTTTTTTTTTTTTTTTTTTACTGTTTGGCTCTCTAATTTCTATTTTTTAGCAAACCTGTAGAGGCTGCATACACATCCTACAGCCAGTACTGTCATGCACAGCCTTTGGTATGCTTATGTTGTAAACTGTAAACTATCTAAGGTTGTTTCTTTCTTTTTGTTAAGAGGTGTGTGACATTGAACATTTGCCCACGACCTAGTTTTTTTTTTTTTTTTTTTTTTTGAAAAAGGGAGGAGAGAGAAGGCAGCATTTTTTTTCCAGTGTTCTGAGAAAAGAGAAATGTGGTTCTCACATGCCCACCCACTCGCTTCCTGTAATACCGCCCACTTCCACTGACAGCTCTCTGTCTCTTTGCTTTCTTTATGTCTTTTTTTGTCAAACACATTTCCTCCATTCCTCGTTATTCCGTTAATCTTTCCTCTCTTGTCCCAATTGTTTAATTGGGTAGCTGCTCGTAGTGGTGATTTTGCACTCCTTACCTTTTTGCATGACATGCGACAGTTTTTTGCAAAAGTATTCATTCCCTTTGAACTTTTTCACCGTCTGTAATGATAAAATCACAAACATTATCGCATTTTATTTGGTTTTTATGTGACAAACCAGCACAAACCAGTCCATAATTGTGACTGGTTTGTGCTAAGAAAATAAGAAAATTATTTTAAAAAATAGCTCAGTGAGATTGGATGGAGAGTGTCTGCAGTTTAGGTCTGGACTTTGACTGGGTCGTTCTAGCACTTGATCTAAATCATTATGGTGTAGCTGTGGCTGCATGCTTGGCGGTTTTTGTCCTGCTAGTGAACCACCGTGTCCATCTCCAGTCTTTTGCAGCTTCTATAATGTTTTCTGCCAGGATTGCCTTGCATTCAACTCCCACCATTTCTGAGTAAATTCCAAACAACCTCTCTTTTCCTACAATAGAAAAGCATTCCCACTGCATAATGCTTCCACCGCCATGTATCAGCATGTTGTTAGTTAGTTTTCCAGAGTTTGAACGGGCCTCTCGGCTGCTTCTCGGATTAACGCTCTCCATACCTGGCCTGTCAGTTTAGCTCGACGGCGTCTTCTGCAAGACGTTCAGAGGTTGTTCGGTATTGTTGTAAAACCTAACACTGCTTTGAGCCTCTCCATGTCTTTACCCCCGACCTGTCTGCTGTGTTTTCTGGTTTTCATCCACTGCAAGAACACAAAGTCGTAAAGTATATTTTGTCTAATTTCCAGTGCAAATATCTTGGTGCACTTGACAAAAATTACTTGCAACTAACTTTTCAGCACGATATAGGAGCTTGTTTTAAATAAATAATTCCTTTATATTGATGGAAAAGTACTAGTTATAAGTGAAATAATATCCTAGCGGAACTAGCACTTTTTTTTTGTCTTATTTCAAGTGTACTAAGATATTTGCTTGTTGTTCACTAATGTTGAAACTAGACCAAAACTACTTTACGACTTTGTGTTTTTGCAGTGTGGTGCTTTTTGTTCACTAATGTTCTCTAACAAACCACTGAGGCTTCCATAGACAGGCTTTTAAATAATAACCTAGGAAACTTTGGTTACTAATTATGCGAATTCCAGAGGCAATTATTTAGGGATTAGACAATAAACAGTATCATTTTTGAGCTTTTGCTTTTAAGTTGCGCCATCATCATTTGTTTGTGTCTTTAACAAGATCTCGCTTTTTCATTACTTCCAGGATTCCTCTCAGCCGTCTCCGCTGGCTCTGCTAGCAGCCACCTGCAGTAAGATCGGAGGGCAGGGGGGAGCAGAGGTGGCCCAGGCCCAAGCAGGTGCCCAGCAGATCCAAGTGCAAGCCGGTCAGATCCAGCTCCAGGCGGGCCAGCTTCAGGGTCAGATCGTGTTGGACGCAGCCGGGGGCCAGGCCCTGGTGCCCCAGCAGCTAGAACTGGTCCCTGCTCAGTTCACGGGGAACGGCTGGCAGATCATTACGGCAGCGCCAACGATGGCCAAGGAGAACACCAGTCAGCCTGTTGCTGTGACGGTGGCCAGTACTCTGGCCAATGACAGCCCACCTGGAGGACGCAAGGTAAAGGTTATTGGGGGAATCGTGGCTTTGGTGAACTTGATCTTATGCTTCTGCGCCAACATGCATTACAACTCGTCTCCTCTTTGGCAGTTGAAAACAACAAGTGGCACCAACAGTGTCCCAGCCAATCAGCAGCAGCAGCAATTCCAGATCATCCAGGTTCAGAATCTGCCCAATGCTGGAGGCGGCGTCCAGTATCAGGTCATCCCTCACCTGCAGACTGCCGATGGACAGCAGATCCACATCAACCCGCAGCCGGCTTCCATCGGGGCCCTGCCTGAGCAGGTGCAGCTCATCCAGACCCCAAACTCAGGCCAGGCCCAGGCTATTCTCCAACCAGCCAACCAGCAGGCTATTCTACCAAGCACAGCCAATCAGACGGTCCCGTTGCAGATCCGTCCCGCACAGACTTTTCCCATCCAGTTTCAGACTCTGCAGGGCTCCCAGACTCCCGTTATGACGACCGTACCCATAAACCTCGGCGGCATGACTCTGGCCCTGCCGGTAATCAACAACGTGGCGGGGAGCGGGGCGGTGCAGCTCATCCAATCGGCAGATGGCACCTTCTCCGTCGCTAACGGCAACCAACTGGTGACGACGGCGGTGCCAGGAGGAGTTCCCGCAGCACCCAGCGCCGGGTCGACGCCAACGGCAGCCGAAGGGGACGGCACGTCGGACGGCGCTCAGGGTGTCGCGGCCGCACCTGACGGCGCACCCGATAACTGCCAGGTACAGAGCGACGAGACAGACTCCCAGAGCCAGAACCAGGCCAATGGGCTCCAGAACCAGTCAGACGCTCCGGGAACCATCCAGCAGGTGATCGTGGGCCAGGTGGGACACCAGCTGGTGCAGCAGATCCAGCTGCAGTCCCCCGTTCAGAGTCAGGGTCAGACGCAGAACCAGCAGCAACCACAACACATTCAGACCCTCCAGCTGGCGCCTGGACAAACCCTGCAGCCCATCCAGGCCTTCCAGAACCCGGCGCAGGTTCTTATCCGCGCTCCCACCCTGTCCTCGTCTGGGCAGATCACCTGGCAGACCCTCCAGCTGCCCGGCGGGGTCTCCTTGCAGGGCGGCCTGGGGGCGGCAGTGCCACAGCAGCTAACCCTGGCTCCGGTGGCCGGCGGGACGGCAGTAGGGAGCGGGGGATTGGTGTCCCTGAGCGGAACCCCCCTGACGCTCAGCGCGGCCCAGATCAACCCAGGTTCAGGCGTCCAGACGGTCAGCATCGCTGGACTTGGCACTGCAGGGGTTCAGGTGCAAGGTGTTCCTCTCACCATCACCGGTCTACAGGGTAAGATGTTATGTATAATTCTCACATTTACAATTCAAAGCTGCAGTATTTGAGCTCATTTGTTTCAGCCAATTTGCATTTGATGTAACTAAAACCATTTTGGATCTTGTTCTGCTTCCTCTGTTTTCCGTCCACAACAATGTGCTTATATATAAAAAGAAAAACTACGCAATGTTTCAATCTCTCGTAGGTCAACCACAGAGTCAGGACGCGGTTAAAGTTCAGCCTTCTCCCGTGACGGTCACTGTCGGCAGCGTGGCCTCGGGTTCGTCGGTGAGTCCAGACCAGCTCGGCTCCGTTCAGAGTTCTTCAGACCAGGAGGGGCCGCCCAGCAAGAGGCTACGACGCGTCGCCTGTTCCTGTCCAAACTGCAGGGATGGAGAGGGAAGGTACAGATTAGAGCAACGCACCACAACACGCAGGACTTTATTGTTTTTTTTTTACTTTTAATTAAAAGACAGAAATATGACAGAATGAATGCCGAAACGATGCAGAAGACAGAAAGTGAAGTGAATGCTGTCTTTCTGAACTTTTCACGTCAACACTTGTGACTCACAGATTGAACACGCTGACATATAATTTGAGTAATTCTGTAGGACGTTTTCGTTTAGTTTTTATCTGTTTTTTTTCTGGGGGACAAACGTTATTAACGAAACTATTTGATCCACAAAATTAATGCTGGAACACATCATCACACCGTGAGGACATGACAAACCAGAAAGTGGGTCAGATTTGATTGGAAGATTGATGGAGCTAAACATAAGAAAAAAAAAAACTTTAATGGCACCAAAAGAGTTTTGACTAAACAACCGGGAATGATTTGAATGAAATGTGTTAGAAGGGTCCAGTCAAAGTCCAGACTCACAATAAATACAATGGAAGATTTGTGGAAAGAATTGAAAATCGTTGTTCACAGATCGATTATGTTGTAATTATATCAAAAAATGCTAATTTGTGACATTTTTTTCTTTCTTAAAGGAGACAATGCATATTAATACATCACCAAAATATACCAATTTGAGTTTTTTAGACATTTCTTTCCTCTTTGCCATTATGCTACCACATTAAATGCTAGGTACTATAAACATATTCTAACAACTCCTGGAAAAAAACTGGAATTTCCTTTAAAGGTCTTGCTGTTCCACTACAATTAAGCTGAATTCCCACCTCTCGTGTTTCTAGGAACAGCGGAGACCCGACCAAGAAAAAGCAGCACATCTGCCACATGGAGGGCTGCGGGAAGGTGTACGGCAAGACGTCTCACCTGAGGGCCCACCTGCGCTGGCACACCGGCGAGAGGCCGTTTGTCTGTAACTGGATCTTCTGTGGGAAGAGGTTCACCCGTAGCGACGAGCTGCAGAGACACCGGAGAACACACACGGGTAGGCCAAACACACGAGCCTGGTCTGAAAAGGAAGCGCTTAGGTCCGGTTGCATTTGTAACGCCGAAGCCATTTCCTTTTGGAAAGCTAAAATCTAAAAGAGGTGGTAAATGTTTGGCAGAATAAACGGCAACATCTAAAAGAGAAAAAATAAATAAATAAAAAAAGTCAAGGATGCTGGTTAGGAGCTGTGATTTAATCTAATTTCCTTTCGTCTGCTGTGCTAAAGGAGAGAAGCGTTTCGAGTGTCCTGAATGCTCCAAGCGCTTCATGCGCAGCGACCACCTATCAAAGCACATCAAGACTCACCAGAACAAGAAGGGCGGCGCCGCCGTCGCCATAATCACCACCGACGACATGGAGGAGGACCCCCCCGAAGGTCTGGCAGAATCCCCGCAGATAGTCGCCGTGGGAACCCTCACGCGGGACTCTGAACCCGCTACGCCCACCACCTCCAACCACCTGGAGGAAGAGGAGGAGGAAGAGTTTGAATAGACAAATCGAAGGAAGACTTCCCGATATATATATATATTTTTTGTCGTTGTTGTTGATTTTTGGAGGCGTTTGCAGGGACTTTTGCATCATTTTAAAATTGTTTTCTTATAAACAGAAGGAACTTAAAAGAGGATCATGTAATGGTCGTGAAGTGGACAAAAAAAGAAAATATAAACGATACAATCTGAAGAAAACTAACATATAATGAGATATTAGTTTGGCTTTTATGTAATAATCTATAACATTTCCATGTGCATTGAGGGGACAGAATGTAAGCAAGATGAGCACAAGACAGGGGGACCTGAGGAAAGTAAAACCATCCAACAGTGAGAGGCATTTTCCTAACAAGAATCCAACTCTATGCACAAAGATGTGTTCCTGTTTCATACCTGTCTGACAGTGCTGAGGTCAATGGTACAGGACGGTTGCAGAGCGGCAACAGCGCAGGGGCAGTCTGGGACACTGTGTGTGTGTGTCTGTGTGGATAAGCGTGATCCGAGCAGATGGCTGTGTGTGTGTGTGTGTGTGTGTTTGCGTTCCCGTTCTGCTCCAAAGATGATCTACCTATGGTGAGTTTTAGTCAAGGTTCAGCTTCAGTCCTCAGATCAGATTCAGGTGTTGATTTGTTTGATTAGTCAACAAATTATTCTTAAAAGAGGAAATTCTAAAAGAGAAGAAGAGTAGTGGGGCGAGAAAAATAAGCACATATAAAAAAAAAAAGATTTATAAATAATGCATTCCTTATTGAAGCGCAGTGGCCATTAGAATACAAATAAAAGGTTTCTATAGAGAGAGAGGGGGAAAAAAACAATCTAGCTTTCTACAACTTTGTTTGTGTAGGGAAAGCAATACTATAACGACAATCCTTGTGAAACCATGTTTACATTGCCAGGGCAAGTTTTCGTTGTTGATGCGATGAGCCGGTTTGTTTCGAGAATCAGAGAAAGCAAGTGCTGCCGTTTGAGCAAACCCGAGAGCTCGCAGTCGTCGGAGGACCGGCTTCGGCATCAGGGCTGCATCATCGGTTTTCACACAGCCTGGCTGCCTAACGACGGTTTTCTCAGGTGGCAGCACCGTCGCCGATGCTACTTGGTGCTTCTTGTGCTTTGGTGAACCACAGCGCAAGCAGCTGAAGTAGCTAAGAGCTGCAGTTGAGTTAAGCTCTTTAGCTATGTGGATGTAATATTTTTTTTGTTGATGTTGCTCTGTGTTAGTTCAGTGCGTACCTTCTTTGAATTAAAAAAACATCATTATTTTAAAGAATTTGAATTTTTTTTTTTTAAAGCCCCTCTTCAGGTGTGTGGACACAGGACCCCATCGTGTATGGCTAATTTATTATTTATCCTTTGATTTGTAATATTTGCCTTTTGCTGGACTTGTATTTGTGTGCGTTGGTTCTAAGGTTGTGTACAGCATGTTTCAGTTCTTGCCGTAGTGCTGCTTTTCTCTTCTTCGGTCTGCTCTTTAATTTTTTTTTTTTTTTTTTCTTTGCGCCATAATGTGTTTTTGGAAAAAATAAAATAAAGAAGAAGAAATTAAAAAAAATGTCTAAAGCTAAAAAGATTGATACCAAACAAATTTAGATGTTTTTAAAATCTTTTTTGTGTGACAACTAACTTTTCTTTTCTATTTTGTAGTGACATCTCATTTGTAAAATCTTTTTCTAAAGATGTTTGTTCGTCTCCATGACATTTGATAATGGGTTTTTGCCAGGTTAGCCTTAAAGGCTCCAGTTTATTGATATTTTTAAAACTGGTTTGTACAAATGTGTTATGTCAGCAAAAAAAAAAAAAAAGACTGAAAAAGAGATAACTCGAAGCAGAAAACATGCTTTGCCTGCTTAACACTTGACAATAAAGTGAGTCTTACATTTCTTCAGATGCCTGTGTGTCTGTATAAACAAAGGTTGGGAAGCCTGTTTGCACCACAAAGGGTGATAAAAAAAACAAAACATTTATCTTATATTGTACTGCATAAATGTACACTGAACGTTTTGAAAGGTGTCACACTTAAGGCCTGGGGGCCAAGTTCGGCCCACCAAAACCTTTTGTGTGGCCATGTAGAGTCCTGATGGACACTTAAAGGAAACCTTTAAGATAAGTTTTTTTTTTTTTTTTTTTAAATCGATCAAAGCTGTTTTTATCTATATACTGTCAAATTACATCAAAGTGGAAAATGTCCAGTATTATTTAATTTTATTGAGTCATCAAATGCAGGCAGCTTTGTATTAAAAATATATCAGTAGTTTTATCAGTACCATCTGCCCCAACCATTCCTTTGACAATGTTTGGGATCTTGACATGGCCCAAAATGAAAAGGAGTGCGACACTAATGGACCAGAACATTTGTTCCCCTACTTGTGACAATTCCCAGGGAATAATTAAGTTTTGTTTTCAGTTATACTTTTCCAAAAAGGCCAAATCTGAGACGTGGCTCTTTGCTGCTCCTCCAACGTTACTATCAGCCTCTTGACAGCCGGTGGGTAACTTTGGCTCAGCTGCTCTGATTTTTGCTCCCCTGTTAGTTTAAGTTTGGAGTTTTGCAAGACTTTTTTTTTTCCCCAGAACTTTCCCAAAGCTTGAGCTGTTGTATTACTCAACCCCGGTTTAAACTTTTACACATTATCCCTGACTTGTGTGATCCGTTCCTTGGACTTCGTGACGTTTGTTCACTAATGTCCTCCGATAAACATCTGAGGTACTCTTGGCACAGATAAATTAATTTGATATTAAAATTGTGCATGTCAGTTAAAAATCTTACAGGTATAAGAGTAATGGGGTCTGAATGCAAGTGTTGGTCAAGAAAGAATTTCATTCTCCAATTTGGTGCTAAATTACCCATACTTCTGGTAGATTTTCTAATAGGACAGGCATATTTCAAAAGATAAAGTCATATATAAAAAAAATGTTTCAAATAAAAAGGTAATTATGGCTGGGCCACGCCAAAACCTTAATAATACCTTCTGTCACAATAAACTACATTAATAATGAATAATGTTGGGGTTTGAATAATACCAGGGAAAAAATATAAAGCCGGCACTGTTCTCTTTTTCACAAACTTTATTAAGATGTAAAAAATAAACCAGTGAGAATGGTATAAAGTGTTACAAGGCTATTTGAATCAAAGCTTCAGTTTTTGCTATAAAAAGGCACACTACAACATTTAGGTAAAAGAAAAAAAAAATTGTACAACTTAAAGATCTTACATAAACAACAAGAACATCCCTGCAACACAAACACAAACCAGGATATACATATGTATATATATAAAAAAAATACCAATAGTATGAAACTCATTAAGGTGACATTTAAAAAAAATCCCAACAAAGTTGGATAAAAGGTCAGGAATGTGTTGGGAATTAAAATGTGCGTTAAAATGTTTTTACAGTATGGTGCAGCACCAGAAGACGTTTGGTTTTCTGGATTTCACTGCAGCTCCTTCTGGATACTGAAACAGAAGAAAAACAAAAACAAAAAAAAAGAACATGAATTTCAACTGTGTGAACATTTCCTACTAAAACTAACAAATCTTAGCTTTTTTAAATCAGCTTATTTTCCCCCAATGTTACAGCTCTACAGTCAAACAGCAGGTATTGCTCCGAATAACAATTAAGAGTTAATATGAATAATCCATATCGCTTAAAGGAACGCCATGATTTTACTGACATTAAACTGACTTAAACGCATAAACAACCACAAGAAAGTGATCTCTAGTAGAATCTCCACATTACGTGCTTAAAACACCACCAACAAAAACAGATTTGCTTTTAATTCAGTTTTCTCCCATCACAGCCGTTTTGGTTCGATTCTGCCCCTTTCACATTCAACCGCACAGTGAAAACGAGGAAGCTCACCTCTCCAAATACTCGTGGACGTTATCGTGGCCGTTGTAGCGCGCCAGGGCCACCAGGGTCCCCGTGGCGCAGCGGCCCTCCTTCTTACGACACAGACTGCAGTTACACATTCCCCGGCAGATGGGACACGACCACGTCTGACAGAAACAGAAAAAGGAAGTAGGGGACGGTTATTGTCTCTACTTGCTCTCTAGACTCTGTAGTAACTGGAACTAGAGATGTTTCATTCAGCCAGATGTTACTGGAGGACAATATATGCACAACAAATAAGGTGTGCACTGCGTGGTTTATTAGGGAACATCCATTATGGATTTAAATTTAATTTCTTGTTTATAAAATTTATTAAAAGTAATTATTATTTTTTTTCTCTTTTTTTTTTTTGTCATTTCGTTTTAGGAAAAAAGCGTCTGCTACGTGTGTAAACACTGACCGGGTCGAGCAGAACGGTGCGCACGTCCTCTCCGTAGCGATTCTTCAGGCACGGTCCGCAGAACTGACCTTTGACCCCCACGCAGTAACCACTACGGCACACCGTCTTGGTGTCCAGAGTCTTCTGTCTGCACTGGTGGCATGAGCTTCCCTGAAAGGGCGTGAAGAAAGCGACTCAGGCGGCCTGCCGGCGTCACGGAACAAATGGAGGTCAAAGGTGAAAGACGTGAAGCCACTCACATTGTCTTTGTCCCAGATCTTGTCTTTGCTGCGGTACGCCACGTTTTCCAGGTCCTCGTCGGTGATCTCGTCGACCGACTTCACCAGGAACTGACTCTTCCTGGACCTGGGGCTTCTTCTGTTTTTCTTTCTCCCGTCAATAAGGTCCTCATCCACCTGACCAGTGGGGAACAGATCGCACAGGCCTCAAACAAGGTCATGCGAAAACCTTTCCTTCTTTTTCAATGATTCGAAATCGTTGGGATTTTGACCATCTGAATGGATCGCTTAATAGATTGCTTTTATTAGGAAGCTAAAACTAAACTAAACACTAGATACAAAGTGCATTCATTTGAAACCCGCTGCAAAAATAAAGTCCAACAAGAACATGCTCCTAATGTTCTGCAGTATTCTTTTCAACCTTTCATTCAAGCCCACCTCCATCAGTCTCCAGATGTCCAGAGTCCGTGGTTTTCTGACGCGAGCTGGCTCAGGTTTTTCCTCCACCCCGAAGTTCTCCGGAGGACGAGCCTTACGCGACGGGTTCCTCCTCTCTGACCCCACATCGGACTTAAACCTGCGCTTCTGCGGCGACACCTTCTGCGATATCCTCTTCCTCTTCTGCAGAAAAGCAGAGCAGTTTTTGATTTGCTTCCTCTGGTTTCCCGATGATTTATTTTTTTTTCTAAAACCAGGACATGGTGAGCATACACCAATGAGTTTACTGATTATCACAACTCATTTCAGAAAATTTCAATAGTAATTTAATGTGTATTAGCAAGTAAGTCTCAATTCTTTCCACCCAAGTCTCAAGTCGAGTCAAAGTCCTAGATTTAAAAGGGGTCGTATTGTGAATTTTCCAGGCATTTGCTGCCATTTTATAGCAAAATCAAGTAACTATGTTACCTTCAGTTATTATAAAAATGCTGTAAATGCCTCAAGAGAAATTTGATCTCACAATTTAACAACTTGAAGAGTCTCTTTAAGAAACTCTTTGCGACACTCTGCCTTCAGCCCATCATCACAACAATGCCTCTCCATTATGCCGTTAACCCTTTCATAGGCGCTTCAAGGATTTCTCAAACACGCACAAAAGAATCAAAGCAACACATCAGCTAGGCTTTTGGTGAGGGGAATCCGTGTACTCGGAACCTGTAAGAAAATAAAGACGTCTCCGAGCTTTTTTTTGAAGGCCTCCGTTCATTTTGACCCGTTTGTGTTAGTTGTTTGTGCAAAGCGCTCACCTGAGGCGTGTCCAGCGGAGTCAGGTCAGCCAGGGAGGTCAGACCAGCAAACAGCTTTGCGAGCTGAAAAGAAAAAAAAAAAAAAAATCACAGAAAAATGATTCAAGGATGTGTAAAAAGTTAACAACTAGATAAAAATGCAAACATATCCTTACACTAAGACATTACCATGGCTTTGTTTTCCTGTATGTTGCGATCTCGTTTTATCAGGCTTTGGCACAGGGGCTCCTTCTTCTCCTTCACCACCACCTTCTCCTCCTCCTCCTCCTCCTCCTCCTCCCTGTTGACCTTCCTCGGCCTTCCTCTCCCTCTCCGAGGCAGATCACCCCCTCTGGCTGGCTTAGTAACATTTCTCTTATTCTGGTTTTTTGGGGGGGCAGGTCCTTTCTTGCCTGGAAACCTAGAGAGCAATTTCTTAATTTCAGCTGAGCGTGCCGCCACCCTCTGCATTTTCTTTCTAGTTCAATCCTGATCGTTCGGTGATCTACAAATCCTCACCTAAGCGCGACCAACAGGCTCCTCCTCTTCGGCTCAGGTGGCTCCTCGCCGTCCGAGTAGAAGCCTGTGTCTTTGTCGCTTTCCCCTTCTGAGTCAACAACCTGAGGGAAAACCAAAAATAATTAAAAAAAAAAAAAATCAAGGCGTAAAGGATGAACTTTCATTTTGTGGTCAAAAGTGTTTATTAAGAATATCCTACTTTGGTCTTTTGCTGCTTTTGGAAGCATCCTCCGTCCTCTTCTGCCTCATCCTCGCTGAATCCTTCAAACTCCTCCTCGCTGTCTGATTGGCTGAATAGACGAACCAGCTCAGCAGTTATATACTGGGATTTGAAAGTTGGAGCCTGTTGGCAGAAACACCCCGCATGAAAATAAATTGTTGTGTTTCCACGGAAGGTCAAGAAAAAAAAAGGTACACAGCAGGTATTTATTTGTTCATTTCAAATGATAGACAAGAGAACTGAACTTTTATAGAATATTTAGGCTCTCAACCTCAGGATTCTTGAACTATACACCAGAGGGAGACAAAGTAAATCTCTTAGCATGACCTGACACTAAATTAACTGTGTGCAGCTGTAAAAGGGAGAAGAATTCGCGCCGGGATCAATAGAGCTGGAGCTGGCCGTCACAGAACAAAACTTATCTTTTGGACTTTGAACGAGCAGCACCAGAGGAATCCTTATCGCTGCAGGCCTGCCGGGCCGCAGCGAGACAAAGTGAAAAAGGAAAAAAAACACTTAACCCTATATTTCATTCCCACCAGCTTTACTTCCCCACAGTAAGGATCCCAAACATACAACGGTTTCTTGCCGTAAATGGGTCATAACTCACCAATTCCTCCACTTCAGAATTCTTTAAGCTTTTCCGTTTTACTCTAAACAGTACCTCCACACACCAGCAACCACAAAGACCAGTGCTTTCATAATTTATGGCTTATTGTAAGGCCCTGCTAGGTTCAGTCAGGGACTTTTACATACACACTGCTATGTTTGTAATCAATAAAGATAGTGCAACATTGAATTTGTACATCATTCTTATGTATGTTTCTGTTTACATCCTGTCTGTACTGTCGGACATTAAAGATGCTAGCTGGATCTTGCTGCAAAATGAACGACTTTTTAAATGTAGTTGTCCACCTGTAGGATAACATACTTCTTGTAAGCAAACAAAAAAGTAAGCACCAATGTACAACTGTTTCTGATGACATTACATAGGGCACAAGCACAACTAACTTTGTTGTTTTTTTTTTGTTTTTTTTTGAGTAGACACATTTGCATTTGTTTTTCCCTCTTTATTCAAATCTTTTCAATAAACTTCATCCTTAAAGAGCGGTTAGTTGTGTTCTGCACAGCTTTCGGAAAACATTTAAGCTATGGCTGACAACACACAGTAGCATTTTCTTAAGAGTAAGAGGACTGGCTGGAATAAAGAGATTTAACCATCAAAGATTTTCAGCAATTATTCAGAACCAAGTCTGGGTGATGTGGTTCATTGAGTCCTAAAAACACTTTCTTGCAAAAAAAAAAAAAAAAAAAAAAAACCAAAGAAAAAAAAAGATCATTTGGAAGACA